GTTGCATCTGTTTGTTGAACAGCAGCACAGACTGATAGGAATGTTTTGGAAGGTGGTAGAGATGCATCTATCTCGTGCAAGCTGTAAGGACTTCAATAATAGAAGAAAACATTTTACTTATTTATTTTTTACTTATATTTAAGAATTATGTTTAATAGTTTCTATATCGCACAGATTTCACTTGGAACGAAGTCTAAAAATTCAAATCATCATGTTATCGCAAAAGCTGTTCACCATTACTTCAGCATCTTGAAATTTTTGAATTTGTTTTTCGTTCAAAACATATATGTGGGGGTGAGCCATAGCCTACTCATGCCAAATTTGCCTCAGCAGTGACTAGAGCTAGAGTAGCTAAAATAAAGTAAAAAGTGTAAAAGTAATGAAGTTTCCAAGTAAATGCTCCTTGACTCCATTAAAGTCCAGTTGCTCCTGCTTTATATTCTGAAAAGACGGCAATGCGACCGATGCGGCACAAAACCTATCTATGCCATGGCCCTTCTTACGATAAATGCAAAGATTTGGTTCCGTAAATAAATAAACATCGTTTGAAATAATGAAAAAAAAAAAGAAAAACGGACGAAGCGATCTATATTAGGGCACTGACATCTATGTCAAGACATGGCAACATGCTATCGATAGTGATAGTTCACTTACTAAGGTCGATGATGAGTAAGTGGATGAATTTGGAAAAAAAAAGTCAAAAAAGGCCAGTAATTTTAATGAAAACTTACCAGTAAGCATCATGATGAGCACTAAATTACATATGAATTTCTGATTGGTCTTCCGAGGATCAAAATTTAAGCTCACGTAGCTGTTATGCTTCCGGAATAAGAAAAGGACGTAGAAGGTAAAAATAGTGGGTAGTGATAACTAGAAGACACTGTTCCGTAAATTTATCTGTTCGTTCCTTTGTTGATGATAAGTACTTTTAAGTTCTTATGACTAAATGAATATGCTCATAAACTCTCCGCGAGCTACCAATCCTGCCTACCATTATAGGGTAGTAGGTTGCAGGTCACTTTTTTCCTATTGAAATTCAAGAATTATGTACATTAATGCTTACTTAAACATCCCCTCTAGAACAAATAATTCAATTGCTTTTATCGACAAATGGAACAATCGCATGGTTTGATAAACAAACCTTATATTATTCAAAGCAAAGGAAACTCAGCTTACCATACATCGCCATAACGAACAGCCTGCCTTGACGACTTCTAATACTGTTGCAGCGCTGGCTGACATATTGTAGCATTGTGCATTACTGTTGGGGCACTGTATCGTCTGATCACCAAACGTCTGTCCAGCAATTAGTTTCAAACCCTGCAGAAAGTAAATTCATTTTGAAAAGGGTTAATGTTAGCTAAAAAGATTTCGGTAATAAATCTTTTGTATGGCAATTTTGAGTGCCTTCTCTATCTCAAAATCTGATTAGCACACCTTACTATGACAGAGTAGTGTTGAGTTTATAAAATGCTTTACAAATATGGAGAAAAATACAATGAAAATATGCATTAAAGTGCAGATAGTTTGATACAAATTTCTAAAAACTAGATAATTTTCAAGCAATTTTCTCCAGTGATTTTTCGCGAGCTAGTTCGCTAAAAAGTGAGACTATGAACAAAATGTTGGTCGATATATTCGAGTCAACTGGTGCGCCTCCGTTACAAATAATCAAGGTTTTACGTCTCTGGTAATGCTTCTTGACTCATACTTTCGCATCCACTAATTTTTTTCTGCGTTTAATGAAAGCACAGTTAAATGAATTAACACAAGTTTTTTTTTTGGCATAATGACGATTCACAATAAAATTTCTTTTATTACAAAGACTCCAAAATGACTTCGACTTTTCCATGTAATAAAACTACAGATTGGCAGCAAAACATTGTAATATACAATCTCGAGCATCTAGTGATCCACAAACATTAAATTCTAGTTTGGCTGCCAATTCTTTAGAGAAATATGAATATTGAAGAGAAATATTTGACAGATTGCCAAGAACCTTTCTTTTAAGAGTCTTAAAGACAAACCTTTTTACTGATATATCTATTTATAATTTTTAAATTAATCGTGTAAACTGACTGAAAAGGTTTTGCTTTCTGACGTAGCTGAACTGAAACTATTTATTACAAAATCCAAAAATTGACTGCCTACTAATGAAAATGAACTGTAGCTACCGCTTATTATGAGAGAGATTCATTCATAAACATTCAGGGCATAGTTTCATAACAATGGTTTTTCCATGAGCAATGCATCCGATGTTTCCAAACAAATACTGGTTTGGTACGTTCGGTACAAGCAATTAGTGCAATCGTCTACGACAAATATTTTTGCCTTGTACACTAGTAGACTATTTGTAGATTCACAATGAGATGAAAGATGGGTGAACGGACGGCGAAAAGAAGAGAGAGTAAGAAAAGAACGAAAAGTAAAGGTACAGCAAGCTGTACTAAGATTGCTACATTTTTTGAACAACATAATATTATTAGTTAAACCAAACACTAACTTCTGATCAAATATTGGTAATCGTAAAGTTTTATGTGATGAACGATAAACGATAAGCGCAATGAGTCGAAGTATGAGTAAGACATATAAAAAAGAATTGGTGAAGGTAGTCATTTCTTGTACAATTGAAAACTAATAAAAAACAAGTTGCGACGGATGCTATCAGCATTCTTCATCACTTAACACTACTCAAAAAATTATATGATTTTAACAATACCAGAACTTTTATTAATCTGTTTAATTAAAGTGTTTTTCAAAGAATGGAATGACTGAGAATATCAGTTTATGTGAAAATTTTGTTTTCAACGTCAATTTTGTGGTAATAATATCTGCAGCCTCAAACTAAATGAACCTAAAATCTACCAAATCTTTTGAACTGCACAAAAATTAGTAGTGAATTTTCATTTCAGCACGGGTTACGTAGAAAATCGAAAAAAGTCCAGTTACCAAACATTCTACGGCCTATTGGCCCAACTATTTGATATAAAACTGATTTGTTAGAGGATTTTCATTTAATCAAGGGTATAGATAACGATGTGAAAAAAGAGAACGGAATTTTAATTATTCAGAGATTCCACAAAAGGCCTCATTGCGCCATGTCTTCTGAATTTGGAAGGAAACAAAGCAGAGCAATATAGTTACACAAATCAAGAAAAATCCAACTTTACCGTGTAGCATTCAATAGCATGACACGTTGGTAATACCAGTAAAAGCAAAGTGATTATGTAGTAAGTATGCATCTGAAATGAACTGAATCAGTTCTGCCTATGACATGATTCATGCAAAGTCGATGACAGTTGTAATGAGAAATAATGGCATGTGATGACGTAAGAATAACCGAGAGAAACGTGAAATTTCCGCAAAATGTCGG